TATCCATACATCTTTTAGGTCTCCCGCTCAGCTTTTTCTTGCTGACTCACCATATGTCGCTGGTTCTAGACCCTTTGGTGCTTACTACCCAAATAACAACAATTTACAGTTTACCTATACACCACCATGCTGATGGAAACACATTAAATATTATATTATTAAATGTCAGTTCTTCTATAAGCAATATCGCCCAAATCAGAGCCATTGGTCTCGTAATGACACCCAATATTATACGCATAACAGAATTCTGGACCCATTCTCTAATTTCTGACTTGTCCTTTTTTTTTATTAATGGCATCTATTTCTACCGTCAATTCCACATACACGGACGTGGGGACGGTTGCCTTCTTTACCTTTGATCTCTCCAAAAGCACTCCCCTGTGACCTGAATGCCTCCTGATTCTCGGGAAACTTCTGCTTTTCATCTGTCATCCACCTGCTACAAGCAAGAGCTATTTTTGGCGTATCTACAATCTCCCAACCTTTCCAAGATATTGCCAATTTTTCTAACTGGTCGCAGCTTGTGCACTCTGCAACAAGAAATAATCAAGTTTTGCATCTAACCCTTGCCAATGACATTGTTCTAATTTTCGTTGCTTTCAAAAAGGACCTATTCGATAGTTACCGCGTATAAATCCATTATTGCCGACCGCTTGCTTCTTCAAAGAAGGCCAGGATAGTTTGGACCTACCTAAATTAAGATTGCATGGACAACGACTTAATAAATAACAATATCGGATCATTGGAATGGCGTGACTTTCTCCCCTTCAATGATGCAAAATTTCTTTGTGCGTCACGTTGGAAGTTTCCAAAGATATCTTAGAATTTTTGCTGGTCGATATGTCAATTGTAACCCTTCGGACTCCCTTATTCCTCCCTCGTTTGTAACGGACTAAAAATTTGAGGAGGTAGCTACGTAACTCTTCCACTAGTTCTTTATCCGTTCATCTAGGCATCACATAAATTCTCCAAGTTGCCTCAAATATGTGAAAAGTGTGCGATAGACAGAGAGGATCACCTGCCCTTACTGATCCGAACTCTGCCAAACCCGGCGATAAAATCTTCCGTTATTGGTTTTTCTCTAAGTGTGGTCACAAACTATCGCCCTTGTTAACCGATAGCAAAATGTTCCTTATCGACGACACTGGCAGGGTGGAATCGTTTAGTGCACTCTTTGCGAAACACATTACTACCGAACCCGAACCAGTCCTTGTCTTTCGTTCACCTTCAGATAGGACACACAGCAAACTCGGTGTCTCCCCAGACCTAATAAGAAACACATAAGTCGTTTGAAAAACTCACTGCCAGGGAACGGAGGATATTCCAAATTCAGTTATCGCACAGGCATTCGATCTTCCCGTGTTGTTTAGTCATTTATCCTAGGCCTATACTTCGAGCGGATTTTTCCCGGAAACATGGCATGCCTTAATTATCATTCCTGTCTTCAATTCTGGATCTCGGCCCGATGTTAATAACTATCAGAACGTGCACAAAACACCGTCTCTAGCAAAACTTCTTGAAAAGACAATTTTCAATGAGATTCTTGATTTCTTTCTAGCTAACCAGTTTGTGAGCTCTAGTCAGCACGAATTTATTTGAAAGATCCTGTGAGACTTGTTATGAAGCCTTTCTAAATCGGATCATTTCTCTTCGTAATGAGCCGCAGTCAGTGGTAGTTATCTACTTCGATCTTAGCAAAGCCTTCGACAAGGTGCCACGTAGACGTCTTTTAGCAAAATTGGAAGTTCTCGGCATTCGGTCCCCTCCATTCGACTTCATCGGGTCCTACCAATCTAACCGTTCTCAGACGGTCATGGTTGATAATAGCTACTCGGCACCTCACTCGATCGATCGCAAATGGCGTACATAAGACATGATAATGCGTCCGCTGACCTTCCTTCTTTACGTCAATAATATGTTGACAGAAATCAGAATTCCGCAAACGCTTATTTATGCCAACAATCTTAACAGTATTTGCTCATATTCTAAGGACAAAGCAAATATTTGCGTTGAAAAAATTAACGCACTCCATTACGCTCAAGCAGATGGAGTTCAACATGGCAGGTGAAGTTTTCATCGTCCAAGTGTAGTTTCATGTCATTTCGTCCTGCCAAGCTTTCTGGTCTCAGAAATTTTCAGAATAAAACCCTCTCGGAATGCTTCACCACAAAGAACCTAGGTTTAAGTTATACAAATAAACTTACTTTATCATCTCATGCAGATGTAATCTCTACAAAAGCTTGGTAAATATGTAGAGCAAAAACCTTGTAAATTTTTTCCCGCCCTCGAATATTTTTGCCCTTTTTTGTCTTGACGAACGCCTGTGACCTTTATAAAATCAAAAATGTTCAGAGTTTTTACTCAAAAACTCATCTTTTAAGCTGGATTTGACGCTTCTAATACTGCGCGATGCCGATTGAGAATATTAATTTTTTTATGGGTGCTTCCATTTTCGCATCAACAGTCCAGTCTTCCACGCACTGACCTCCTCATTCCGGGGAGTCGGTCTTAAACCACGCGTAATTCCTCCATGGCTATTCGGCCGCCTTTTTGACCTATATCTAAATACTGTGTCGGTTTTTGTTTCCAAATATGCCTTACTTTGGAATAATCTTTCACCAGAATTTTGGTCATTGCCTAAATAATCGGTTTTAAAATCGACATTGCGCCAGCAGCTTAAATCGGAAAGCACAAAGTTTTTATTGACCGTTTCATGCCCCAACACTCAAACTCTGCACTTTTAAAACGTTCCTTCTGGGATTAAATGGTGGATAATACATGTTTTACTTGTTCAATGGAAATTACCACTTTATTTCTTACAACCCCTGTTCTTCGTTTGCTACTGAACTCACTATTTTTACCCCACCCCCCTTCAGCGATTATTTTCGCGGATTTTAATGTTATTTTATCTTTCCGACCCCAAGCAGTCTTTTAACGATCACGGTGGAGTCATCCGTTTTCGCCGGCTGCAGGTGATTTGACCGGCCAGCACAGAAGTATCATGGTCGCATCTCCTCGCGATTTAATAACCGCCGCAGACTTTAATGTCCCCTCTTCGGCTGGGCTCTACGGACCGTGGCTGGTCACGTTGGATTCCTCTTGTCTTGCCATCTTGATGGTTGTTTCCGTTGTCAACACAGAGTATTAAGATTGCATCTGCAGCGAATAGCCTCATCAAGTTTGCGAATTCTACTTTGAATATGATCGTTTCAAACCGTTACATATACCTTTATGCAGGACGGTCCCCTCCGAACTGTATATTTGTTTTCCCATGAGCGACAGTTTTCTTCTGCTGTAAAACTAATCAAAACACACTCATTTGGCCTTTTTCAAAAGACGAATAGGTTTTTTCCGCTGTTGGCTAACCGTTTTTCATATCGGACAGCTTATTTTACAAGCCGGAATTCAACACTGCACAGTGACTGTGAGTGTTTGTTCTAAGAGACTACCAGAAGGACCAAAAAGGAAGATGCTTAGTTCCAATGCCTTTTGGAGGACACACCCTTGCCAATACTGAGGAACATAGGGATCTCGGTGTTCTAATGACCTCACCTTAACCACCTTCACATAGTAGATACAAGCGTAGATGCGAGTTCCAGGAACTAGATGATCAGAAGAAAAAGAAGAAGCGATCGCTGGAACAAGGACGTTATTGGCCTGACGTTTCCGATTCTAACTTTAATCCATCATCAGAGACAGTGGCAGAAAAGGGTGACTAGTGAGCAGGTAGTTGCAGTATTAATAGGATGCAGTCGCTATGCTACCGCATACCTATAGCAATTGGTCGCGCTCCCCTTCATCAAGGATTGCTGCCCGCTGGTGCACTAATTGCTTGATAGCCGGCAAGCAAGTTGTTAATTGCTGAAATCTCATCACCCGTGTTGGCTGCTGGCGTGATAATTGTTCGACCATCTGGCTCACTGGCCTGCGCCCTCCCCGAATGGTCAGACTATGGCCAGCCTATGCCCCAGCATTGAATATGGACTGGGGATGTCATTGCATTTGTTGATAGACTGAGGTCCCGTGAACCATGACTGAAACAATTTGCGTCTCACGTGATTATCCCCTCTCGCGAGAATTTCGGCCCCATCGAGCTTGAATGTGTGGCTGGGTCTAGTCGAATGGGCCGTGACCTGAGAGTTGGCGCCATTTCTCCGTACCGCTGCCGTGTGTTCGGCAATTCGCGTTCGGAACAGTCTTCCAGTTTCTCCGACGTAGTTGCTTTGTCCGCAACTGCACCAGATCCGGTAAACGAATCCAGATGTTTCTTGCCGTGACAGTGGGTCTTTTGGTCTCATCACCTGACGCCTTATGGTGGCATCCGGTCTGTGTGCAACTCCAACCCCAAGAAGGCGGCTAACGGCCTCGGAGACGTTCTTGATGTACGGGATGGCCCGCCAGAATTTGGGGTCGGCACGGTTTTGTCGCTCGTCTCGTTTGCACATACACCGGTTGACGAAGTTACGCGGGTAACCGTTTTCTCTGAAAACCCGTCAAAGATATTGGGATTCAGCAATCATGTCTTCCGGTTCATTGCACTGCGTCTCAACACGCCGATATAGCGTTCTTACGCAACTGCGTTTGAGGCTGATTGGGTGGTTACTGTTGAAGTTCAGTATTTGCGTCGTGTTCGTTGTTTTTCTGACTAATTTGGTCTTTAGGCCACCACAATCTTTGCGACAGACGGGGACATCAAGGAGTGACAGCTGGTTATTTTCTTTCTCCTACATCGTAAATTGTATGTCCGGGAAGACGCTGTTGAGACGTTCTTTGAACGTTAGCACCTGATTCCATTCGATGACGACAAAGGTATCGTCCACATATCGAGCCCAGAATTTCGGTCTGTGGTGTTGGAAGACCAGCGACTCCAACCGCTGTAGGACCGCCTCGGTGATGAATCCCGAGATGGGCGAGCCCATTGCTGTTCCCCTCACTTGGTCGCAGATTGTTCCGTCAAACGTGAAGTACGTCCTGAGACAGAACTTTAGGAGCTGAATGACTTAGGCATGCCCGAGACGATTCTCCGTTTCATTGTACTTGTTTCGTAGGAGTATTTGGGCGGTCTCGATTGCCAGATCCTGGGGGATAGAAGTAAAGAGGGACGTGACATCAAAAGATACCATGACCTCATTTGACAAGAGATTTATTTCTTTAGGCTTCTCCAGGAATTGTGTTGACGAACAGACGGTGGTGTACGAATCAGCAGTCAGAAATTTGAGGCGCTGAAACAGCCACTTTGCCATTCCGTACGCTGGAGTGTCTTTGCGAGATAAAATGGACCGGAGAGGAACGCCCTCCCTGTGCACCTTGGGAAGACCATAGAATCGGGCCACGGCCGTTTCTTGGGCTCTCGCCACGCGTCGATCGGTCGTTGTTATTGCACTCGAGTTCCCCACTGCCGACAGTGTCGCATTAATTTCGCGTGTCAGCGTCTTTATGGGGTTGGTTTCACATGGGGCATAAAATTGGCGATCCTCCAGTAGGTTTTTGGCCTTCTGAAGGTAGTCTGTTCTGTCCAGTACGACGGTGGAACGCCCCTTGTCCGCGGGCACAATGACGATGTCCTTGTCGGTCTTGAGTTCTCTAAGTGCATCGCGTTCGACCTTCGGGAGTATTTCGTGGGCTTGTAATTTATAAGGAGGGATGACACTTGGTGTCGGATAAGGTTCTTCGTCTCCTCCGCCGCTTCCGTTTGATTAATGACCGACTCCACTGCTGCAATCATGTTGACAGGTTTGTCGTCAGCTGTGTTAAGTGAGGATTCGTGAGGCCTCAAGTGAGAATCCGAAACGTCAGGCGAAAAAAGCCCTTGTTCCAGCGAGCGCTTCTAATTCTGCGCATCTTCACACAGTTTAAAGGCAGTTAGACGCACGACACGGGTTCTGTTCGCGCCAGGATCTGTGCTTATGCAAATTAATCTGAAACTGTTCGGCAAAATCTAAGGAGCATTCGTTCGGCTCCGTTTGAACTATGCCGTACAGGCCTGGCGTCCGTCGTTCAACAATGTTTACCAAGTGGAACGAGTGTAGGCGAGGACCACGCAAATGGTGAAGAACCCCGGCTATTTGGCTACGGGACCAGGCTGAATGGATGTCATTTGTCTCCCTTAAATGACAAGCGAACGCGCGGTGATCTCACTCAGACCCACCAAACTATTAGACCGGTGAGTGTGCCCTACATTTCGACAATTTTCCCGAATTGGTCGGGACGGACCGCCTGGTTGGTCATCACTTTAAATCAACTAGGGTGTTGGCCATACGGGCGTCCGATGAAACGCCTTCTGACGATGATTCGCTGGAGTCTGGGACTACAATATGCGGATTTCAATCCAACATCAGAGACTAGGTTCTATCCAAGAAGGCCTGGTTAGTGTCAGTGCCCAGATCGATTTGTTTTTTTTTTCAGTTAGGATATTTTGGCAAACATTTCAAACATAAACATACGAATATTGATTTTCCGGCACGACCGAAACGTTAATTGTTTTTGCGAATTTACTCAAGTCTGGCGAGGACCTGGGGAACCAGCGTCGCAAATTTACCCAGCGGTACTTCCCACTCAAATATCGATCACACATTATATGAGTTAACTCATCTACTGTATATGACTAGGGCCAGGAAAACCCTCAGACTGATCCCGACAATGAGAACTTTTAATAATAAGTTTCACCGTATATTAACTTCTCAACTTATTTAAACATAAGATATGGGCGTCAAATTACAATCAGTGTAGTCAGTATCTCAGATAACCTTTAAGAGCAATGTGTGCAGCCAAAAATGCGGCTCTTGAAGGCAGGCTTAACCTGGAAGAGATCAGCTGCCACTGTCAGCTCTGCGCCCTGCTCCAATGGAAACATAATTTTTCTATGTACTTATAAGGTGCTTCAATTATCAGACTGAGTTAAATAAATATCCTGTCGGTACCAACCCCACCCCGCCTCTGTAGAGGTCTGTCCCTGAAAAAACGGCATCAGAATTACCGAGCCTGTTGGTTTCAAGTTAAGCCAGCAAAATCAAAGTCATTTGGTTATGGCGACTACAAATCTACGAAATTGTATTTGTATTACACACTTGATGCCTGCTTAGACGTCGACACGTTTAACGTTCTCGTTCGGGACGCTGAATTTCCTTTATGTCGAGTTCCCCTTGTTTTTGTCGATAATGGTATTCGTCAAAAGGTATGCTTATTCGTTCACGCATCATTGGCTACTTTCTCTGTTTCTGACAAAAAGTATGTGGAACCTGAATTATGCCTAGGTGGAACCCTCTGAGTTACTCTGACAAGTCCAAATCGATAACTACTGAAAAACCGTACTCTGCTATATAAACATCTGCACACAATTTTGTCGTTTTCTTCCCCGCACAGGTCAGCTGATTATACATTTGATAATCAAATTTCATCCATCCGGGACGCAATTCTTTTAATGAGCCGACCAACAGGTTGAAATTTCAGCGAGTTTTAGTTGCCCGCGAAAACACATGACTGACGCTAGAGGGTGTGGAGAGCGTTGGCGATGGAGGGCTCGCGATTTTATGCATGGGGCAGCAAAACCTTGAAATTTCTTGGTCGGGCACAACGATTCAAATCCCCTTCATGCAGATCTTATTCGGTTCAGCCTGGTTCTGGCAGCTACGGCATTTTGTGTGACGTAGACGGCGTTCTCACAAGAGGTCGGTCGGCAATCGGTTCTGCTTTTCGTGCTTTTGAGCTTCTGCGTGACAAAAATGGACGTTGGAGTGCGCCTGTGCTGTTTTTAACCAACGCAAGCAACGTACTGAAGCAGACAAAGGCTGAGGAACTATCCAATGTACTGAAATGCAAGGTAAAGATTCCGTCTGAACTATTTTTTTAAGATTTCACCCCAAGATATCGTCATGTCGCACACGCCATTACGGCAGTATTCGGAAATGTTTGACAAACATGTTGCTGTTTGCGGACTTGGTCCTATAAAGGAGATTGCTCATAATCTTGGCTTCAAAAATGTTTCTACAATCGAGGAGATTTCGGCCGCATTTCCGTTTCTGGATGCTTGCAAACCTAAGGAAGAGATGTTCGCGGTAATTTTTCTTGTTAATTATTGGCATTTTCCTCGAAATAAACTTTTCACTAGATGTATAAAGCTAGATATGCATGTTAAGCAAAGTCTAGAACATACAAAGCATTACAATGTTCACAACTGACCGTATATTACTCGAAAATGGTCCCCAGTGCGTCGTCCCAAGCTTGTAGGCGATGCTCTGAGGGCCTTTTGAAGATGTCTGCGACTACTCACAGCGAAAGATCTTCGTTAAAAAGGGCGAGAGATGCTCTGATTACATTACTATTTAGTGTAGTAATAACAATTTTGAGGGAAAATAAAAAATAAGGGAATCCCTGCCAACACATGGCCCCGGGGGCCAGACGGGGCTAGACGGGGCTAGGCCCCGTCCAAATTTCCATCCTTTCTAATCACGTCATTCTGCATTAATTTGGACTGTTTGAGCTTTATTATCGTGAAATATAAGCCTTTTA